GACATTTTTGTGGAATTAGGGATGGCAGGTAGACGCTCGATGCAACAGGTGACTCCACGAGGGGCTCCGGAAGGGACAAACAATCCTCTTTTAAAAACTCGAACACTGAAGGACGAATAATTTAATTCAAGAGGAAAGAGATGAACAATAATATTTAGATAATTTTTTTAGAATAATAAAAATAGATCGCAGAATCAGGGATCGGAACAATCATCAATTTCAAAATAAGTCAAATTTAGCGTATGTTAACCGATAATATTACCCCGCAATTTTCAATTACCAAATTAATCATCAACCGAATATTCAACTTCCGAAATAATTTATCAACCAGTAATCGTGTCAGAAGATTGACCACTACATGTCTAATCGAAAAAATCCTTTTATGAAATTTAGAATCATTTACTCAATAGTTAATAGAAAATTTAAATTATGAATTATTTTATTATTTCCAAGTTTTAATTAAGAAAAAATAACCATAGAAACAGAAAGGTGCAAATTTTAATAATATTACAAATATAATGATTGTCGATCGATCGCTGTGCAGAATTTAAAAAAATCTGCCTCTAACAAGAGGAGAGATTTGAATTATTCTAACTCGAATTATGAAGCTAATTTATTAGAATAACGAGCGTACATTGTTTCAACTTATACACCTTGCTCCTTAAGATGCGAATCAGGGTCAAGACATTGCGTAGTTTCGCCCGGATGTAGCTGCAAAAGGCGTGAGACGAATATATTTTTTTAATTATACCCTGCAACACGTGTTCCGTTCAACTTAATTTCACTGGACAATTCACAGTCACGGTTGTCACAATCTTTTTTTTTAACTATTATTCGCAGGGCTCTTCTGGAAATGGAGGCGTGAGCTGTGTGAAGGGGCACCAGAGTGAGTCACGGGAGAATAAAGTCGCAGGAGAAGGCCCAGGTAAGTCGTCGGAAAAGATTTAACTTGCGGAGGTGTATAAACGCGTTTTGGAGTCACACTGAGAGTGTTGTGGGATGACGAATACCGCTGTGTCGCCGTGCTGCGGTCCGTTGCTTGCCAACGTTTGCTTCAGTTTCAGCCCCACCTGTAAAACCGGGCCCCACTCCATTCAGGTGTTACCACCTCCACATCCTTGGGGCCTTTTCTTTTTTCTTCTTTATTCAATAGTGATTCGAAACTCGAATTCTTTTTAATCCTTCGATTAGTCACTGCAATCGCACATCCCTCGATCAGATATTTCCAGTGTTGTCTTGGAAATAATCACTTTCAGTCGAATACAGCGGAAAAACTTTGATACAATTGAATAAATTTACAATGAAAACTCTCTTTTTTTTACTTTCTCTCAAATTTACTCATTATGAAGGTCATTTATTATTCGAAAAGAAAATCGACGTGTGTTCACGTTTTATCACTTCACGACTGATCGTCCAGAGTCAATAAAAGTTTATCGTTGTTGAAACCCCCACATCAACTCATTTTTTTTCAGTGAGAAGTACTTTATCAAGATGCCAATTCTGTAAAGAAGAAGTATCATTATGAAAAGATGTTCTTTTTGAAAATCAATAAGATATTCATTAGGTGAAGATTTGAGTCAATGAACAAATGATGAACAATTGAGAACAAATGAGTCAATGGCTGACCCTCACCCTTTTGGGAATTGATCGCGATTTTTTCTACGATTGGGGCACTAGAAAAACTATCTATCAATTTTTTCAGATTTTTTCAACAACCCATTTCGGAGATATCATTTTTTCTTTGTTTTTTCGTTTTTTTTCAATAACTACAGTTGTATTCACCCGATTTTGATTTATGACACTTATTACATATGAATGGGTTGGTTCGTATTGATATCATTTGCCGTTAGAAGGACGTTGACGATATTAATACAGTAGTATACATGTATACCTGTAATACTAATATAATAATAAGAATAATAATAATAATGAAAGTAATAATCATTTTTAAAAACTGAAAAATCAATTATTTGAAATAATAATAATTCTTTTCGGTAAAATATAATAGTAGTTTTTTTAAACTCAAAATACTCAAAATATTCTTATAGAAAATTTTGGGTATTTTTTTTTCAACTCCTAGGTGCTCATAATACCGAATTTTCAAAAAAAAAGTTGAAAAACTAGGATTTTCAAAATTATGTCACGTTTTATTTTTCTCGTCTTTTCCTTCCGAATGAAAGCATTGCAATCGTTCGATTTTCACTTTTTCTAATTTTGCTTGGAAATGATGCAGAATGGTCTGAAACGTAAAAATACGAAGTTTGGGGACCATGTCTGTGCGTGACACTGTCCAGTCGGTGGTCATTTTTTCGTAAATTTGATAATTAAACGGGAAAAATCATTCCAAAAAGTTTGAAATTTTTTCAGTTCATTGGTATAACTTGAGACTAACTCCATGCCAAACTTCAGCTTGATCCGTCCATTAGTTTTTGAGCAATAGCCATTCGTTTTTTAACATTTTCTCGCAAATATCTCGGAAAATACCCAACCGATTTCAATAATTTTTTTTTCAAAATATTCGGCATGATTTCCTTTATCTCAATCAATTAAAATATATATACCCGTTTGTACAAAGTTTTTGAGATATTTGGATTTTTCTGCTTTTGACTTGAACTTGACTCCTTGTTCGCGCTCTAACTTGAGTAAAAATCACTTCGTGCAGCGTGCTTCATACTCGACTTCTGCACGATGTGGCATAAAATAGTATAGACCACTCGGGCATAAACTTCGTTTTCAACGAATGTGAATACAGACCTCGCCTTCGGCTCGGCCTGTAAACTTCACATTCGTCGAAAACGAAATTTGTGCCTTTGTACTCTAATGTACTATTCAAATAATTTTTTTGAAAATTTGGCATTATGAGCACCTAGGGGTTGAACAAAAAATACCCAAAATTTTCTTATAGATAGTAAAAAATAGAAAATTTTCAGCTGTGATAAATAAAAATCGGGCGAATAGAATCCAAGTTATTGAAAAAAACGAAAAAAAATCAGAAAAAATCATATCTTCGTAATGGGCTGTCGAAAAAATCTGCAAAAATTGAGAGATAGTTTTTCTAGGCCCGCAATCGTAGAAAAAAATCGAGATCAATTTCCAAAAGGGTCAGCCGTTGACTCATTTGGCATGGAACACCTCATATACTTCACGTTTCTTCTTTTCGATGTGACCGCCCTTCCTTTTATCACGTTTTAAAGAACCCATTTTGCCGTCTGATAATTTGCAAGGTTCTGTTGACGTAATCGTTTCCATATGCAGGTTTATTACTGTCTAAATTATGAAGATTGAAAAAAGTAGAGGTGCTCATTTAAAAGTAAAGTAGTCCTAATTTCACCGAGTTCTACCAAATATACATGCTCCTCTATTAATAAATAGGTGAAACATTTTTGGTCAGCAATCTATTTCGCCAAGTACATGCGAGACATATAATAACTCAAGTTTGTCTTAGTTTATGAATAAAATATACTGATTAATATAGAAAATGTATAAAATAATGATAACATTATTAATAATCATAATCAAATTCATGTATTATATATGCTGTATTATTATTTTATACATTTTACATATAAATAAGTATTTTTTACCAATAAGCTGAGATAGACTTGAAATTTTCTTCGGACAGTTCTTCGCAAAAGCTTACGTTTTCACACTTGAAAAACACTTGCATCTAATTTCATAAACGTGAATTTTTCGTCGTAAAAATTTTTATAGATCATTTCTCAAAATTTTTCTCACATCTGAACATAATAAAAGCGGACATTGAGTCCTTCTTAACGAATAAATGAATGCATAATGATCAAAAATAATTGCAGAAATGAGTAGTCAATTGTGCGCGCGCGAATTGCGCCCCCTTCCCTAGTTATAGAAAATAAATTATGACATCAGGTAGGAAAAGAAACTGAAATCATGACATGAGTTACGAATTCTGTATTGGAAACATTATTTGGACATTCCACAGCCCGGGAATTTGCCATCCAATGTACAAGAGTAAATGCTCGCACTCTCAGTTACGAAAATATAATATTTTTTTTTTTAGAAAGAAACTCTCCTCTTCATTCCCAGAGCAGTGGTTTTACATGTTCTTGTTCCATTGTGTTCCAAATGAATATTAAAAAAGTTTTAATACAAATTTAAACGTAAATTAAGGCATATATGCAAACTACATGTGATAATCATCTCTTACTCTAAACACTCAACTCATTCCATGGTTTAATCATTTACTTCTCTCACGTCTCTTCAAATATATCACGAAATCTTTGAAATGCTCCACAAATCGTTAACACAACTAAATCAATAACTCATTGCATTGGTGTAGTCCACAAAAGTGATAAACTCTGCGAGTAAACTGAGTTCAAGTACCGTAGCATTAATGTTATGAAAGCAAATAAATGGCAATTTTTAAAAATTTGCAAGCGTCAATTCTTTTATTTCTTATACGAGATTGTTGCTGCATTTTATCAACCCTAACCCTATAACTTATATTTCAAGAAGATTTGAGGCGGGCTGTCAGATTCGATAAAACCTACAAATTTGAGAGAATTCATGTTTTTTTGGAAAAGAAAAAAATAGTACATAATCATGATCAGGGTTGGGTGTGTAAATTACCTCGACGGATTTTTTACATTTTTTACATTACTTCAAAAGCTTGCAATTTTCGATTACTAGAATAATTTATTTTATTCTGACTGACGAATATGCAGTATTGGACACACAAATATCATGAATAATAGTATATTATATACCGAGGACAGATAATGTTCGGACAGAACGCGGTTTTCGGTACTTCGGGCATAAAATATCATTTTATGTTCCTAGGACCGTAAAACCGCGATTCTAAACTCGACTCTTCGGTTAAATTACGGTTTTCGGGCCCGCAGACATAAAATATTGTATGTCTCACGACGATAAAACTATTTTCTAACTCATGTGATTGAAATCCTCGCCTTCGGCTCAGGTTATAAAGCCACATTCATTAGAAAATACTTTTTTATCATTCCGGCCATAAGGCAGCGCTACGCGTTTTAGCGTTGCATGTGAATCTCTGCCTACGGCCATCATGACAAAAAATATTGTTTGTCATACGGTCAAAAAAAAATTTCTGACCAATATGATTGCAACCCTCGCCTTCGGCTCGTGCTGTAAACCTCATATTCGCCAGAAAATTTTTTTTCGGCCTAATGATGAAATATAATATGTGGACGTCCACATGAAAAGGGACCACTTTGTCGATACGGAGGTATGTATACTCTGATAATATTTATAACATTCCGCACATTTTGAGCCCAAAATGATCCTCACGGGGTGAAAAATGACGTCGCTGGAGCAGATGAAAAAAACACTTTAACATGAGTATAAATGGGAGTTGCTGAGACAAAAACGTGAATATCTCGGAAACTAGAATCGACAAAGTGGTCCCTTTTCATGCGGACGTTCACATATTATCACCTAGTGACATAATTTACTATTACATCACGTAGTACGATGCGCGGCATTTTAAGAAACTCAAAAACATGAGCCTCATACCTCATAAAAAGTAAATTTCACGAGGGTCAAACGTTGCAAAAGAGCAAAGTCACAAGTCATCTTCATTGCGAGAAAGTCAATCTCATTATCTATTGAGCTTCATTGGATTCTCTACTTTATTATTTGGAGCCCCAAAAAAGCCCCAAAAGGAGTTCAAAAAAGCTACCAAAGACAATTGAATTAGTTTTGTCATTGGAGAATGCTGAATGAAACAAGTTAATGTCAAGACAAAAGGTGATGGCGCGACGAATTCAATAGAGATCAATAAATAATGAGATTGACCTTTGTAAAATTTATCCCTTACACGGTATGACCCTTACGAGGTGTGACCCTCGAGACGTATGATCCTAGCGAAGTATGAACCTCGTGACTTTTATCACCCTCGCAAGGTATAATCTTCGCAAAGCTTCACGGTTTATGATAAAAGAAAACGTCCGCTGGTTTTTTACATTTTTTACATTTATTACGTAAATTACGGGTTTCTTACAATGTCATGTAAAAAACTGCGGTTATCGACAGATGCCCAACCCTGATCATGATGATCAGCATTTTAGGGATTTGTTTTTCATAATCCTCCAATATTCCTTCAATTTATAAATTTTTAAACAGTGAAGACAAGAAAAATATTTCAAAGAAATCATAATATCATAATCGTGGAATCGAAAAAAAAAATTGGATAGATTGAAGTCTTTATAGACGCACTCGGATCCTCTTAACTATGACTTTTGGACTCTTATATTTATAACGAAATTCTGATACTCTCTGGTACCTCTCGTTTTCGATCTTAATATATCTATTTTTTTATACATATAATTTTTCATCATCTCAATAATTTGTCTCTGTTTGGAACATGGAAAATATCTGCCACATTTCCATGTAATTAATCTTCGACTTTATTACTTTTATTTCTTATCGTCTCTTCCTACAACTAGCTTGGCTTTTCACGGGTCAATTACATTTAATACATATCTATAGAAGAATGGGGATTGAACAGAGCAATCACTGCTCAAATTCAATTCGAAATAAATATATATCTTTGTGTATATATATATTTTTTCATTTTTACCATAATATTTATTAATAAAAAAATTATCCAAAAGAAACTTTCTAATAAATAGAGAAAGTGTATTAATCAGTTCAGCGGGTGAAGAATCTTTATACCCATAAAAGATTAAAAAAAGGTTTCTTCTTTTATTTTGAGATTCATTTGTAGAAAAAAGGATCTTAGAATGAAAAAGAGTCATTGGCAAGTTTTGCGCAATTTCTTTCAAACAATCTTGTGCCAATCTTCGTCAAAACGGTACTCAGATCTTAAACAAAGTCGTACCAATGAAAAATGAATAAATCTTTGGTAAAATGTCAACACATTGAATGTCTGTCATCCAATGGAGGAAGGAGATAGTTATTCAATTAGTTGGAGAACGAAGGGGAGAAGAAACTGTTTGACTTTACAAATGCAACAGTTAGATTTTTTAAAGAGAAAACACTATCTACATCTCTCATTGTTCCAATATCTCTCGAAAGATTTTAGGAAAAAAAATAAGAATAAGAAATTAGTAATTTAAAAAGGAATATTCTCGATTTCAAAAAATTTTCTCAATGTTTTCTGTGCACATGTTACATTAAAAAATAATCTAAAAGATATTGCAGTCAATATTACAACGAAATAGACTTGCTAACTGCGAATATAATTGGAATTGTAAATTATCAAAATTGCAAAGTGAAACATTGACATAACTGTCCACCTAGTCTCCCCCTTTCATTGTACAACAGACTTTCTTTCCTTGCGAATCTCAAACGCATGTGAAATCTGCGTTCATCATCAATGAATTGTAAATACGCAGGTACTGATTTTTAGCCAACGATCTGCCGTTATTCGAGACTTCACAATAGTCATTTCCTCCCAAAACAATTCACAGCGAATTTCAAAACTGCTGGACACCCAAATTGCCCCAAGTGCTTTTATTTTTTGTCATCATCCACATCAGATTAAGCAGCCAACAAAGGACATATGCACTGCATCAGAGATTTCTACTTTAAAATAATTCGAAATATTTCTAGAACTAATGGACATCTCAAGGTACGGGATGGACTCTTATTACTCCGTGATTAATTCCTCGACATTAATGAGGTTTAATGCTGTGAAGCATCGACGAGTGAAGCGTATTCTAGGACGTTTTCCACCCACGAGATCTTGGCACAGAGATAAAACATTAATTACAAGTTTTTTCTTCCAAATCAAAATCAGTCGTAATGTAAATAGCGAGCGATTGGGCACATCTGGACAGGGAGAAGTACGCTAGATCTTGGCGAAAACGATTCTGGTGCTTACATGTCTAGAAAAAAACCTTAATATATGAGAATTTTTTCTTAAGCCTTGTATCGATCGGACGACCCGATAGCGCAGCAGAGCACTAGAGAGAAGATGAGTCCAATGAGATCAACGATACCCAGGCCAATTATTGCGATGAGAATCGTGCAGCCCTGGTCATTCAGTTTGCTGATTAATTTGTCGACACAGCCCTAGATACAAAAAAAGAGAATGAAATATTTCAAACTTCAAAGCATAATCTTAATTACTCGATTTGTCGGAGAATCTTCACTGAGCTTATGAAAACTCTTGACGATCTATTCTTTCTCAGCAAAAATTCCCAGTGCACAGCGCCAATTTCATTGAGGCAATAGGGAACTTGCATGAAGCTCAATCTTTCTAATTCCCCTATTCACACATTCCTCCTCAGGAATCGGCATAATTATAAATTATAATTAATGTTATTTGATTCCTTGGATAGTAATCCATGATTTGAGGTGATGATTTTTCGATTAATTAAGCAATGGATAATCTGGACCAAGAATTACCAATTATTTTACTAATCGACAATTGGTATCAATCCTGACACATTTTTTTATAAATGAATAATCACCCATTAACGATTATCAATTAATCAGAGAATTTTCCGGGACTGGATTTTAGCCAATCACAGCGCAGTATTCGAGGTCACGATACTCTTTTGTTATTAAATTTTTTCGGAAATTGCACACTAGCTTCTGGAAATTGCATCTGATAATTGCATAGTAGCTCTTCATTTATTTCTAACCAATTGGATGTTTTGCTGGAAGAAGCCCTCGAATACTGCGCTCCGCTTGGCCAAAATCATCCAGTCCCGGAAAATTCTCCGCCGAATACCCCTCGACTTTCAACATTAATCGCAATATTTTCCATAAGCTTCCCTGCAGGCTAAAAATTCCGAGTGCGCAGCACGAGGGATTTTTCTGAAAAACTTGACACTTTTGTTTGCTGTTGCAACAAAGCTATCGGGAAAAAATTCCGATAATTTTGAAGGTCTCGGGGTATTGTAACTGACAATTGTTGATCAGAATAAAACTTAACCGATTAATGTATCAACTGTTAATCCTGTTTGATTTTTTCTCAATTATTTAAAGAGGAATTAATTCAATCTGGAAATTTCTAATTAATCCCGATGGTGACTAATTAGAATTCCGAAAGAAACAATTATTTGGTCAATGAGTAATTTTCATGGAGAAATTTTCAATTATTTACCCAATCACCAATTGTTATCCATAATTACCCAATATTCCGATCAACCGTCCATTATACCAAGAGAACGTTCGATCAATTCATGATCGAAACAAGATAAACTTTCCTTAGGTAATTGACGTGAGGAATTTTTTGATTTTATCAATGGATGATTGTCGCTGCATATTATTCTATTATTTATGGACTGAAGAATCAATCAGTGTTCTGTGATAATTGAGGATTGATCTGATAATCAGATAATTACCCATCCTGATTAATGATTGTTTGATCAACAAATTAATTTGTTGTTCTCACTCATGATTGAAATGATAATCAATCTCTTAGTAATTCCAATTACGCATTTTTTTATTAATCGATCATCCCCCAATGCTGATTGTCGATTGATAATTTAACGCATAGTTTTTTGTTGGAATTACCGATTGATGGAATAATCGGAAAATTGAGAATACCAATTGACAATTCAAGATGATAATTGGAATCATTCAAAAAAATATTGGGAAATTAATGATTATTCCTGATGTCTGTTCCTCGTAACAAATGGATAGCTAAACGGCGAAAATTGGGGCGAAATATTGCCTAAATTTCTTATGATGATTAATTGAAAATCAGACGTTTTTCAGGCCAATTTTTCGGCCATGACGTCACGAAGACGGTCAGGTAACACTTAATTGGTCGAAAAAGAAGAGAGTGGGGGATTTTCATCCTCCGTTGGCCGAGGCGCGCCTTCAGATTGAGTTAGGTCGGCTCGAGCCATTCTGTGATTGGTCCAGTATTCAACCGTCTATGTGACGTCACTGGTGGCTTCAAAGCGTTTGAAATCTTCAACTTTTAACAATTAATTATGAATTGATGAGCAATATTTCAAGCGTTTGTGACTGAAAAATGTATTATTCAGGTCCCAAACTTGAGATTGGAAAATTGAAATGAATTTATGCAAGTTCCCTATTACAAAGTATATAGCTAAGAATCAGTAGCAGAGTAATGACGGGGATAATTCAATTTTGCGAAGAGTTCAATTTTTACAAATCTAAAATTGAAATCACCCATTTCATTTACAATTTTGCTACCAAGAGGTTTCCCTAGAGTTTCAATCAATTAATTAACTCGAGAGAATACATCAATTACCTCAGCATAAATAGCATTATCGACAAATCCTCCAATTTTCACTTGGCGTGCTCTGCGGCAGTCCTCAGAAGCCCTGTCCTTGCAGCAGGACTCAGGCAATTCGTAATTGTTGTTTCCATTGGAAGTGACAGTGACACTGAGTCCATTCAGAGTTGAGCCCTTGGTATTGTATTTACTTCCAGCCCAATCATCTGGTCCATTAGCTCCGCAGCATCCCAAATCGGATTGAAATGCGTCAACGGTTGCAGTGCGATATTCGAGAACACCATAATCTTTCTAGCAAAAGGAATATCCAAAGTATTACAACAAAAACACATGTGTTATCGTTTCAGCAGAGATGAAAACATCTGAGAATCACATAATTACTTTAACGGTTTCTGAGAATGCCCTTTTGACCAGCGGCCCCATAGTATCACGACGAGTGTAGAGCCATGCGCCAGCGGCAATCTGTGCCACGACAATGACCAATAGACAGCTGAAGAAAGAAACAAGTAGACACTGAGACTCGCGAAATGCACCGCAGCAACCAAGGAATGAAACTATCACGAGTAGAGCCCCTGCACCGACCATAATGTACAGTCCTGCATGGTAATTAGTCTCTTCTTGGGTCAGCGATACGATAAATGTCTTGTCAACTAACATCCATACGCCAAGGACTACTGCTGCAAGACCGAGGGCCTGGGAACAAAATAAATCTTTTATTAATCATCGAATAAACCTTCCAGTGGAATGCACAAAAGATTCTCCACATTATTTTGATGAATCCTTGGGGAACTGGAGGCGAGAGAAACTAACAATCAGGGATAGCCAAATCTGTAATATTTTATTACAGTTAAATATTGAAGGTCTCAATTAGATAACATCACTCTTGAAATTTATTGATTACTTAAGTATCATTAATTCAAATATTCAAATTTTCAACTATTTTATCAATCAATAATTGAGGTAGGAAGATTGACGAGTATTTGTGTAATCGAAAATCTCCTTTCAAGAAATTTGAATTATTCACTTAGTAGTAAATTTACAGTTTCAGATTAACAAATTTTAAATACATCATTATTCGTAAAAAATCAGATTATTAATATTATATTATTTAAAAAATTGAATCAACACACGTATGAAAAAATCGTATAGAAATTTTCTGTACGGATTGCGTATAAAAATTCTATAGGATTTCCGTATATGATATTCGGATATTTCTATACAAATTATTTCTATCCATAAATTTTTACATAAATTTTTGTTTTCATGCGAAAGATGTCTAAACGCTCCAGAGAAAAACGTAGAGAAATGTTGCAACTCCATACGAAATGTTTCTATACATGTGGCAGTGGGTCGTATAGGATCAAACCTATAGAAATCGTATAGAAATAATTTGTATAAAAAATATCCGTATAGAACCGAATATCATATACGAAAATCCTATAGAAATCTATACGCAATCCGTACAGAAAATTTCTATACGATTTTTTCATACGTGCATATTTTAAACCTTCATTAATGTAAGGGTCAAATTCTTGTAATATTACAGAAATTTAATATTGATGGGGATCCCTGCTAACAATGGTGCCATTTGGATCTCTAATCCCTTTATTGACTAGAACTGGAGTGGAAAACATTTTTTTTATTCATATACTCAGAATCATCGAAGCAAATTTCCCCAGCTATCCATAACACCATCATTTTTTCTCCGTGGTTATTCGTTTTTTTTTGATAGAATGTTTATTTATTGACCACAAGATAAAGTTCATTTTTGTCGCAGATGCAACCTTTTTTCCACATAAACAAACAAAACGGAAATATAATAATAATTCTTAAAATTAAAGTTAGTTCCTATATAAATACATTTGCACTATTCGTAGGAAGACGTTGAAATGTTGTGACTAGCACTAAATGATTAAATAATGTTGCGAATATATTTTTAAAGAGTTTGTGGTCAGGAATCTTTCTTCTGCGCCAGAAATTGATCAGTTAAAACTGACGATTATTCGTGGTTATTTGTAGCTATTTGTAGCTCCACAGGAATTTACGCTTTGTTTATCAGAATTCACAACCGCAACATAGATGTGAGGCCACCAAGTGGGATGTAAACTAGTTACTCTTGGGGGCCAACCAATGAAATCACTGGGAGTGAACCAATGATAGGCGCCAATCCATGAGATCACTGGGTTCTCCGTGATCTCATTGGTTGGCCCCCAAGAGTAGTTAGTTTAGAGACCACTTGATGGCTCCCACATCTACACTGAGAGAAAAACACGCTGTCAAACAAGTCTTGTTTGGGCCAACAAAATCGCTAGTTGAAAATTGTCGAAAAAGAATTTATTTGGTTCTAATTTGAAAGTCTCAAACATGAATAATTGTTCTGCTTTCGACAGCAACAAAATATTGGGTTCAAGAGGCGGATAATTCACACCAGACGGTGTCTTTTCTGGATGAAAATATCTCATATAGAGGAAAATTTATCAACAAATATTTTATCCCCAAGTCACAAGATTACTATCATATCATTATTATTGTTTCATTTAAGGGTTCATTTCTTGTCTGTGACTATTAGACAGCCGAAACGAAAACCTACTATCCCTTGTTTCGCACAAAACAAAGATTTTTTGGGAGCAAAATACGTGTGGGAGTATCGAATAACGAAGGAATAGTACTAGAAATTACATTTCTTGCGTGTAGGGTGAACTGCCCATATGCGGAACACTACCCAAGAACGGAACCGATTTTACGAGATTTCTCAAATTTTGGCCAAGCTATCGATTTGATTTTTTTTTTCTAAATTAAGTTTATATCCCTCCCCATGACGTCATCACAAATCTGATCGGCTATCGATTACCTCCTGCTGAATATTGGAGAAAAATCCTGGCAGCAGCCAGTTTGCGGCGATTGATAGTTACGCGTGCCATTTGACGGTTTTTTTTTGAAGCGATGTTTTTTAGATTTTAATTCACAAAATGCGGTAAGTTGTGATTGATATTGATATAAAATCCTTCATTCTTCAATATTTCCATATCAATTTCATCAGAAAAATGCTATTGTATTGAATATATGGGGGTTCCGTCTTTAGGGTTAGTTTTCCACGCAATTTCAAACGAACGGAACACTCATACGGGTGGATACCTATGTCAAGTGGGAATACGGTGATACTGTGGAAAGTGTATTGGCGGTTAATGAACTAATAATTTAATGAAGTTAATCGGAATCGTATCCCTAAATTAGTTTATTTTCTTCATTTTTTCGCGTAGATGGCTTCAAAAGGTAAAAACACACGGAAAATACACGAAGAGGAGGGAGAACAATCAGCCAAGGCAGAAGTGGTTAGGAAACCCTCTCAACGGTTTAAATACACAAAAAAAATCTAGAAGAAGCGATTGAGGCTGTGAAATCGGGGAATAGCTCTCTAAATAATGCATCAATTAATTATGGTATCCCCAAAACTACATTGCATTCACGAGTCAACGACAAAGTATCTGGATACTCTCATGGTCGTCAGTCTGTATTGACAGTTGGGGAAATCCACCGAAAAGATATAAATTTCGGGAGGAATTGAACAAAATTGTATATTTTCTGATTAATATCCTCCTCGATATGACTTCGCATCAGGAATTAATCTCTCAACGTCACACTAACCTCCAATGTTCCGTAAATGGGCAGACGATGTTCCACTCTTGGCAAAAGTGTTCCGTCCTTGGTATATTCGATGTGCGTGTACTTATTAATTATTTCCAATTATTTCCCATCAAGTGATAGGTTCCTTCATTTTTTCTCAGAAAATAGACTAAATTTGGAATTAGGCAGTATTTTTCTTAAATTTTTCAAGAGAAAATTTCAATATTTCATGACTGTGTAAACTTCTGAAACGGCTTAAATGTTCCGTAAATGGGCAGTTCACCCTACAGAGAATGCAATTTTTTTTTAACTACTACATCTATTTTTGCGACAAAATTTTTTTATTCAAGCGCACTCTGCATGTTTGGCACAAAAAAATCATTTTTTGATAATTTTCAAAAAACNGAAAATACACGAAGAGGAGGGAGAACAATCAGCCAAGGCAGAAGTGGTTAGGAAACCCTCTCAACGGTTTAAATACACAAAAAAAATCTAGAAGAAGCGATTGAGGCTGTGAAATCGGGGAACAGCTCTCTAAATAATGCATCAATTAATTATGGTATCCCCAAAACTACATTGCATTCACGAGTCAACGACAAAGTATCTGGATACTCTCATGGTCGTCAGTCTGTATTGACAGTTGGGGAAATCCACCGAAAAGATATAAATTTCGGGAGGAATTGAACAAAATTGTATATTTTCTGATTAATATCCTCCTCGATATGACTTCGCATCAGGAATTAATCTCTCAACGTCACACTAACCTCCAATGTTCTGTAAATGGGCAGACGATGTTCCACTCTTGGCAAAAGTGTTCCGTCCTTGGTATATTCGATGTGCGCGTACTTATTAATTATTTCCAATTATTTCCCATCAAGTGATAGGTTCCTTCATTTTTTCTCAGAAAATAGACTAAATTTGGAATTAGGCAGTATTTTTCTTAAATTTTTCAAGAGAAAATTTCAATATTTCATGACTGTGTAAACTTCTGAAACGGCTTAAATGTTCCGTAAATGGGCAGTTCACCCTACAGAGAATGCAATTTTTTTTTAACTACTACATCTATTTTTGCGACAAAATTTTTTTATTCAAGCGCACTCTGCATGTTTGGCACAAAAAAATCATTTTTTGATAATTTTCAAAAAACTGTGTTCTTGGCACAAGGAAGACTTGTGTGAGAACTTTGTCGTTTTTCTCTCAGTGTATGTTGCCATCATGTTGCAATCGCGAATAATTCTTTCGCGTTTTTTCGTACAATCTACTCAGGTGAAAATGCGTCCTAAATTTGTCAAACTACTACTTTTCTTGATGAAGTAAATCCAGTATACATTCGCGTATGCATTAATCAAGTGGTCAAAATAATAAAGTGGATAATTGCATTTTTATAATAAATAAGTATCGTCATTATTGCTAATAAATTAGCAATTTCTTTCCGAATAGGTTCTCTTTTTCAAATTCTTATTTCACTTCTTCTATGTTTTTATGTGATGGTACTATCATCAATTGGAAACTCAAATTTGAGCGATTACAATATTTTGCTTCACATTGCTTTTCACGTTTGTTGCTTCCATACGGAAGCAAAAAACGTGAAAAATTCATGAAAAAAATATTTGAGTATGTTAAATCATTGGGAATTTTTCGTATTTTAATCCCCCCTTCCCCCCTGGGGTAAATAATCAATCAATCTGAGAAAAAATATTAACATTCAGGAAATGTTCAGATAAACACTGAAATAGTTACTTGAAAATGAAAAATTTTCGTGTTGAAGAATTGAATTAATGCTCGAGAACAATGAACCCCTTTCGTTTCACTTCTCCGGAGAACCACTGACGAAACACCTTAATATGACAACTATAGAGGGGGAAATTCAAGGAGATGAATAACGTAATCAAAGACTCCTGGAGGGTGGTAATCTGCATGAAATGTAAGACAACCACTCCCATTCAACTCAAAGGCGCCACACTTGCATGTCAATGACGTAATTGGACACCCTCTTGAGTCCGGACTGACGACTCTATACTAGTTTTACTGAGGCTCTTCATCATTTTTCAATGCATCTTCTGCGCAAT